CCATAAAATTATTTTTGTTGATACTCCATAACTGTCATTTTGCTACTGTTAGGAAATCTGGCGACCCCTGTGAAAGGGTTATTCGCGACCCCCAGGTTGAGAACCACTGACTGAGAACATCAGAGCTCCATGGATTCTAAACCATGTTAGCAAACATCTTCTATGAAGGGTCCTGTAGACTTTATGGTCACACAATTTCTGTTGCATCCACTTGCCTGTATAATAGTGGAAGCAGCCACTGGCAATCTGTAAATGAATGAGTAGCTGCGTTGTAATGAAACTGTATTTACAAAATTCAGTGGGCGGGATTTGGACTTGGGACTGTCATTGGCCAATCCTTGCTCTGGGCTCTTTATCTGTAGGCAGTCTTATTAGTGGTGTTTTATTCCCTAGCACTGCTTACAGTGCCTTGCCATACCTCAATCCGTTCCTCAGTAAATGTTGGTTAAAGGAATGAATGTCAGCACATAATGGTAAAATCTGACAAACTGGTTATACAAAAGTGATAGATAGTACTGATTTCTTTGTTTCATTAAATTGAGAGAAAATGTTTTATTAATAAGGATATACTTGAAGAAGTAGATTAAATGTCTAAGAACAATAAAGTCAGAAGGAAGGAACACATTCTAATGATTTATGCCAGAAGGAAGTAGAAATAAAAGGTTATCTTTCCGAAGAAGAAAGTATGAAATTAAAACTCATGTTTTCAAAAAATTCAAAATGAATATGCTAATAAAATGGCCATACACCCCTCCTTTTTTTTTTTTTTAACAACTCAATATGTCTTTTTGTACTTAATTTTAAAAATACTCATCTTTTTATTTGATTTCTGGTAGATGATTGATTGGGCACCCGGCACTCTCGGTAAGGCGGTTACCATTAAGAATGTAACTGCTAATTCTTTAACAGTGTGAGGGGTGGGAAAGGTGGACCAACAACCCCGGGGCTCAGACTGGCTGTGGTTACAAAAGACTTCTTCTGTTCCAGGTTGATATGGAACCCAGCCCACAGAACCGAAGCCCTGAATCACGCCCTGGCCTTGTTTATCCCAATACCAAATTCCTTCGCAAAGATAATCTCAACCCGAGACACATGAACCTTCCTCTCCCTGCACCCCATGCACAGTATGCAATTCCCAGTCGCCATTTTCACCCCCTCGCCCACCTCCCGAGGCCACCATTTCCAATTCCGCAGCAGCAGCACAGCTTGTTAAATCAGCAGCCGAATAATATGCCCGAACAACCAAACCAAATGCCACCCCAACCAAACCAGGTGGTCCCACAGCCAAGCCCGCTGAGTCCTCAGCCTCCGAATCCACCTCCTCAGCTCTCCCCGGCCTACCCAGCAGGACCCAGCACTGCTTTTCTTCACAAGGCCGCCTCCCATCGGGCGCAGTCCCCTCCCACCGCCGAGGCTGTGATGCCAGATCCACTGCCCCCACCCATGCTGCAGGACAGCCACAGTCCTCTCAGAGCCGTGGCCCAGCCCAACCCCATCCTGCCTTCCCACCTGAGCAACTTCGTGGATGAGAACACCGCACCAGCCCTGCCTCTAGGGGAGGCACTAGGTAAGCTCACGCATCGTCCTCCACAGCAGCCCCTGCTGGGTCTGGAAATGTCAGTGTACTATTACAGTGACGTGTGTAATGCATGTTCGTTTGGGTTGGGGGTGATTCATTTATTAAAGCAATGCTAATAAAAAGCAGCACCTTAACTTCCCTCAGTGGAACCTCGTTCTAAATACTGAGTCCTCTGAAGTAGCCAACCGAGTTGGCTCAGCAGCCACAGCTTAATGCTGGCTCAGACTTCCTGTCATTGAGTCCATCCTGACTCAGAGCCACCCTGTAGGATAGAGCAAACCTCTCCCCATGGGCTTCCCAAACTGTTCCTCTCTATGGGAATAGACAGCCTCATCTTTCTCCTGGGTTCCAACCGTGACCTTGCGGTTAGCAGCCCAATTGTAGTCCTCAGTACTATCTGGGTAACCTTAATGCTTCTTGTGAGCAAATTTAGAAAACACATACTTTGTCCCCAAACCAAATTGTAATCATTTCTTTGTCTTTGTGGAGGAAATTGCTGGTTGTCCAAACTCCTGTGAAAATAACAGGAAACCCCCAAAGCCTGAAATCTCACATTTCCTCCATGTTTTCTTGCAGACCGCATGCATGGGAGTGTAGCTTTGGAAACGTTACGGCAGCAGCAAGCACGGTTACAGCAGTGGACCGAACATAATGCCTATCTCAGTCAGGGCAGTATTCCATATCCACACCCTCACCATCCTCACCTCCCACACCTTCCTCAGCCGCCCATTGGGTTACATCCGCCGCCACCTCCGCCACCAATGAGGACAGACTGGAAGCTCCCCAGCAGTGCGGAGGATGAGGCAGAAGAAACGTACTGCAGGTATTTAGTGGTCTCAGAACTAACCTCTGTCACAGGACCTCCTACTGCTGGTGGATTATTGCCCCAAAGAAACCAGATGCTACTGGCCTTTGAGGCTATAGAGCGCCTGTGATTGGCTGTAAAATGTGGAGAATTCATTTAGAAGCAACTATGGTACAAATCTATGTGTGGACCACTTCCTATGGAATATAAATTATCTTCTTCAAGAGACTCATTCCAGTCTTGTGGGGTGTTTATTTTTAAGTGTCAAACAGAAAAATCCCCACTGCTCCTGAGGCTGTAAATCTTACAGGAGCAGACAGCTTCGTCGTTCTCCTATGGAAGGACAGTGGGTTTGAACTACTAACCTTGTAGTTAGCAGTCTCATTGCTCAGTCCTGCCTCTGGACTTGTTTCAGCAGTCAACGTGATGCGAATGCTGTCCCAGTCCCTCTGAATTAGGTCCATCACAAGGAAGACCTTTCATAAACACCAGTTATCCAAGGCACGCAGAGAGACACAAGGGCAGTCCTTATTGTTTTCATAAAGCCAGAGAGAAAGAGAATCTGCTCAGAAGTCAGGGACTGCAACTTCTCTAGCATCTGCAGTTCAGCATATGTTAGGGTTAGTGCGTCGCTTTGAATGAAATCTACTGATGCCAATTTCTAACTAATGGTGATTTTGCATGGGGAAATTGTGTGTGTGTGATCGACAAAGCTCTCCTTTACGTGATGGTGTCAGTCTGTTTTCTCATCATGCTTCATCGTCTTTATATAGGTTTCAAGATTTAATCAGAGAACTCTCTAATCGTGATCCAAGCGAAAGCCGGGAAATAACCGAAATGCCACCACCTCAGTCAAGACTTCTGCAATACAGACAAGTTCAGGCGAGGAGCCCTCCAGCAGTCCCCTCTCCCCCATCCACCTCAGACCATGGTAGCCACTTTTGTAACTTCAATGACAGCAGCAGAGACGTTGAAGTAGCCCACAGCGCAGCCGCCTTTCCGCAGCGCCTCCCGCCCCCGATATTCAGCTCGCCTTTCTCTTTGCCATCTGAGCACCTGGCTCCTCCACCCTTGAAGTACCTGGCACCTGATGGCACATGGACCTTTGCTAACTTACAACAGAATCATCTAATGGGGCCGGGCTTTCCATATGGCCCACCTCCAATGCCTCACAGGCCACCACAAAACCCTTTTTTACAAATCCCGAATCATCAACACGCTATTGGTCAAGAGCCATTTCATCCATTATCATCTCGAACAGTATCTTCTTCTTCGCTCCCTAGCTTAGAAGAGGTAAATGTCTTTCTTATTTTCCTTTTTTTAAAAAAAATTGGGATGATTGTGGTGTGGTGGTGGGAATCGGTACTTAGTGATTTGATAATGTCAGCGGATAGCTCTTACTGGATGTAAATCTCTGAAAGATCATTCCTTCCTGGACGTCATGCGAATTCTCTCTTCCTGATTCTGGAACTCCTGATTTTATAGTATGATTATATCCTTGAAACCCAAAGTCTTCTAGAGCCTGGGATTGCTGTTTTGGAACATTTCCTTCGATCTGACTGGATGAGGCTGTTCATTTGAGCCTCGCTGTCGGTCTGATCTGGGAAAAAGGTTTGTCGTGTTTTATCTTCAGACTTCTACATTGCAGTTGTTTCTTACATACTCATTCATGATAGCTTCTGCAGGTGGTTGGCTTTTCTCAGCCAGGGCCCAAGTGCTGCGCTTATGCTCCTCTCGGGCAGTGAGGGCCCCGTTGATGCGAGGCCGTGCGTGTACACTGGTGATAGATAGCCTCCCTGCATGTCAGCATATGCAGGTGGGTCCTGCGAAATAGGCTTTCAGGACTGAACAGCTGAAAGCAAACCGGGTGGCTTGTGTAAAACACTGAGGTGTTGTCAAAGAGCATCTTTCTGTACCTCTAAGTTAGGGAATTTCTGAAACCGGTTCCATTTAATGTTGAACTATGAAACTGCTGTCTAGCTGTTTATATTAAGTTGGCAGGGATTAACAATAACATGCCAAAGTGCTGTGATTGTTACCTATGTCAAATGCCTTTTTTTTCCTTCAAATTTTCCGATTTTGATGTATGAAAAACACTGTTTTTGACATTCACTATTTAACAGTTTCTAAATGATTTCTAAAAGGTCATTAGAAATAATTAATTCAATGCTGTGCAAATTCTCTGCTACAGACACTGATTAGAGAGTCAAGTTTCATAAGGAAAGCTCTGTATCTTGTTTCTAGGGTTTTGGAGATAATTCGTTCAAATTGTTCCAGCGTTCATTGATGGGCTCATCATGTATAATTATCATTTAAACAACCCAGTTGCTATCTTAGGCTTCTAAAATAAGTTGTGAGCATAAAGATGAATTGGTGTGTGTGCATGTGTGTGAGTGTGCGTGTGGACATATAGGAGGATCTAGAAATTTGGAACAGCCATACATTAGAAAGATTTAACACATGCCTGACATGTTTTCAGCTTATAATGGACGAGCTTTACAACTGAAGAATATTGTAGTTGTCAGTTAAGTAGTGTTTTATGGATGTATCTCTAGCTAGCTAGTTACATTTGAGATAAAATTCACATAGCATAAAAGTAATTACCATGACTACTTAAAACTGTATGTTCAGTGGTTTGTAGAATATGCACAATGTTGTACAACCATTGCTATTTTTCATGTTTGAATCAGAACCTTGTACCCATTAAATCACTCCCCAGTCTTCCCCACTCCAAGTCCTTACAACCACTAATCTTTTTTCTATCTCTATGGAGACATTTTAGGTAAAATGTTAAGCAAATGAAACCACACACTGTGGCCTTTTGTATTCAGTTTATTGTGTGTGTGTGTTTTTTTCCTTCCAGGAAGCATGTTGTTTTCACGTTCATCTATGTTATAGCATTTCTCTTTAAGGCTGATGTATAGTCTATTATATGGACGTACCAAAGGAAACCTTGGTGGCACAGTGGGGTAAGCCTAGGCATAAGCATTGGTCTGCTCACTGAAAGATCAGCAAGAGAAAGATGAGGCAGTTTGCTTCTGTAAAGATTTGCAGCCCCCAAAGCCCTCTGGAGCTGCTCTACTTGGACTGACAGGGTTGCTATGAGTTGGAAGTGACTCTGTGGCAGTGGGGATGCGGTATAGCACCACCACATTTTGTTATCAGTTGATGAGCGTTTGGGTTGTTTCCACTTTGGGGTAATTATGAAGGAGGCTGCCCTGAACAGTTGTGCACGGGTCTTTGTGCAGACATTGGTGTCCAGTTCTCTTTGGTGTATACTTATGAGTAAAATCCTGGATCATGAAGTAACTCTGTACTGAACTGGGGAGGAGCCAGCAAAACTGTACATGCCCACCCCAATAGACTAAGCTGTCAGTTTTTATGTATGCCGTGTAAACAGTACAGCCGTTGAAGTGAGTGTGAAGTGTTTTCGCATTGAGATTTTGCTGTGTGTTCCTCCAATGACTGATCACGTCAGCATTTTCTCATCATGGGCCATTTGTGTCTTTTTTGGAGAAAGGTGTACTCTTTTGCCTGTTTTTTATTTGATTTGTGCTTTTGTTGTTAATAAGGTGTAAGAGTTCTTTATATGAGGGGGCTTCAAAAAGTTAGTGGGGAAAAATCCATTATCCCCCTGTCTATGAATCCTCTGAGGTTCCTTCATATATTCTGGATACTAGGCCCTTGTCAGAAGATATATGCAAATAGATCACGAGGTGCCGAAGGGATCAGGTATCAGGCATCATCAGAACAAAAAGCCCTACCATTGTGAATAATGGCGAGTACGGAGTGGAGACCCAAAGCCCATTTGTAGGCAATTGGACTTCCCCTTACAGAAGGGTCGCCAGGAGGAAACGAGCCAGCCAGGGTGCAGTGTAGCAACAATGAAACATACAACTTTTCTCTAGTTCCTAAATGCTACCTCCTCCCCCACTATCATGATTTCAAAATCTACCTTACAAATCTGGCTAGACCAGAGGATGCACACTGGTACAGATAAGAGCTGAAAACAGGGACTCCAGGGTAGATGATCTCTTCAGGACCAGTGGTGAGAGTGGCCATATTGGGAGGGTGGAGGGAGGGTGAGGTGGAAAGAGGGAACCGATTACAAGGATCTATATGTGACCTCCTCCCTGCGGGACGGACAACAGAAAAGTGGGTGACGGGAGACGTCGGACAGTGTAAAATATGACAAAATAATAATTTATAAATTATCAAGGGTTCATGGGGGATGGGGGAGTGGGAAGGGAGGGGAAGAAATGAGCTGATGCCAGGGGCTTAAGTGGAGAGCAAATGTTTTGAGAATGATGAGGGCAATGAATGTACAAATGCGCTTTACACAATTGATGTATGTATGGATTGTGATGGGAGTTATATGAGCCCCTAATAAAATGATTTAAAAAAGAAGAAGCTAAGCAAATATTTTCACCCATTTTATGTCTTTTGTTGTTGTTGTTGTTCACTCTCTTGATAGTCTCCCGGATACTGAAAATTTCAAGTTTGTGTAAAATCCAATTTTTAGAATTTGCTTTTTTAGATATCTGGTTTTTGGTGTTCATTTGAGAATTGATTGACAAATACCAAGACAAGTAGGTTTACCCATATGTTTTCATCTGAGAGTTTTATGGTTTCACATAGAGGTGGTTGGTCGGTTTTGAAATATTTTTATTCTTGGCTTAATGTACAGCTTCATTCATTCATGTATGGAAAGTTGTTATTTTAGCATCATTTGTGTAAAAAAGTATTTTTTCCACATTGAATGGTCTTGACACTTGTTGAAAAATTAATTGGTCATAAATGATGTGTGGATTTATCTCAATTCTTTTAAATTTTTATTATTTTAGATTTTAATGTTTTTATTGACATATAGTTTACATATCATACTCCTTAACATTTGAACATATCAAAAAGAATTGTGCCGTCCTCAGTCATCACTACTGTTGAGCTTCAGGATTTATCTCAATTCTCTTCCATTGGCCTATAGTGCCCTTAGGGCAGTATCTCACTGTCTTGATGAATGGTAGCTTTGTAGTAAGATTCAGAATCAAAAGTGAGCCCTGCTTTAACCCTTTGCAAGATTGCATGCTATATATGTTCTGGGTCTAATTGCCATATGAATTTTAGGGTCAGTGTGTCAGTTTATGCAAGAAACAAAGCAAGCTAGAATTTTGGTGAGGATTGATCTAAATCTATACACCGGGTGGAAAATACTGCCATTTTTAGCAATATAAGTCTGAGCCACATTTTTGATTTTTGTATGCCTCAGTAAGGTTTTTGTTGATAAACAGGATATTTTGAGTATTAAATCTTTAAAAGTTTTGGACAAATCCCTGCCATCTCCCCCACCTCCCTCCCTTTTTTGCTGCAACCCCTATAGTATGCCGTGACTTCTAAATTAGATATGATAAGGCAAGATGTTCCGCTAGACTTTCAGGGAACCACAGAGCAAAACAATTGGTTGAGAGCGAGGTCCGTTCTGCTTTTGAGGATGGGCCTACTTCTTTTCCTGGTCCTGCTGGAAATGGGGGGCCTCCTGCTTTCCAGGCTTTCACTGAGCAGGAGAACAGGACACGCGGGCACAGCGCCACACGCTTGCTGTTTGTACTGAGACCCGCCTGGCTGCTCTTGAGCAAGTGCTTGCTCCCTTGGTTGCTACCAAGTTTTGATTATTAGTTTTGGATTTTTTTTAAAAAAAGGCTGATTTTTACCAGTTTCTGCAAGTTTTGTGTCTTTTGCTTTTATGAAGGGGGAGGAGTTTGGGAGTTCCTTACTCCGCCATTTTTGCTGGTGTCACTTGTGATGTTTTAATTTAGTGTACCAAATTATTTATAGTATGGGTTGGGGGGGGGAGGTGGCTTCTGTACCCAAGTTCACATAAGATTTTTTTTTAAATAATTATATTGGGGGCTCGTACAACTCTTATCACAATCCATGTGTACATCCATTGTGTCCAGCACATTTGTTACATTTGTTGCCATCATCATTCTCAAAACATTTGCGCTCTATGTGAGCCCTTAGTATCAGCTCCTCATTTTTCCCCTCCCTCTTGTAAAGCTTTGTACTGAAAAAAAATACATATCCTTTAATCGGTGATATATTTGTATGGTTCTTAATTTTGGCATTTAAGCTCCTTGCACTCTGGTGGCTTTCCTGTTTGGTAGGGCTCTTTGGGTTCTCACAGGGAGACAACTAGACAGAAACACGCGGCCACCCTTGTATTGATGTGTGAGATTCACGAGTGATGACTAACTTGCAACACTGAAAAAATACTGTGACAAGGAAATTATTTTCTT